TATTCTGCAATTATTTCTTTCTATAAAGCACCTGCAGAAACTCGTACATCTAGATCATTAAATGCAAAGAAAACCATGTAAGAGGGGCTCTAGAGAAGGATATTTCCAGCAAGCAAGCAACAGCCTAACATCAAATCTGCTACAGAAGTCATAGATGTTTCTGGGCCTGCCTGCTGGCTCCTCCATTGGAGTGAGCCTGCTGTAGGGAATGCTACCAATGGCTACAGCCACAGTGACACATCTTGGGCCCAACTTCCCAACCTGCTCAGTCTCTGCCTTCAACCTGTATTAACTCCAAATCTGTAAATCCATAGCTAAGGGAAACAGTGCCAAGAGAAAACCCTGGAAAATATACTGCCCTATCCCCCAGCCTCCTACCCCCAAAGTAAGACACAGCATTATTTAGTAAAGATTAGTAAATATTTAGTAATATTATTTTGTATTTGTTACATTTATTCCTGTAAAGATGGCTATGAAAGCTGTGATCTATTTTTAAAAACATCTTCAGGATTTTGAATTGAAATACTGATAAATCAAGACAATTTGCTTTGGTAACTCTTAATATAACATGAAACAATTTTTAATTATGGTCAGAACTACGATTGTCTCTGTAGACTAGTTCTAATATAAGCAACCATTACACTAAGAGAAAGCAGCTTATCATAACCATTCAAATGCAGGGAAAATGTTCAGTATGCCCACGATACAAGGGAGACATTGCTGCAAGCTACACACCAACATCCTAGTGCTCCCACCGTGGCTGAGTTGAGAACAACTCCACAGAGCACCTCCAGACAGGTTCTACCTTTAGAGATCCCTTGAAAGTTTTGTCTTCAAGTACACGGCTTACCCATATCAGTAATCCAGATGGCTATTCTCTCATACAAGAAATTCAGTATCATGATGATGACAAAATTCAGGCATGAGGCTGTGACTGAAGTTGCCAGCTGAGGAGTCAGTAATCCACTGATGGGCTCTAAAGTTTGAGTGTTCTCCATCAGGCTGGCAAAGGCAGCATACACCGCCAGACGATACACGATGACAGCTATCATGCTAGCTATAATCAGAGACACCTAAAGAAAGGACAGAGATTTGAAATACACTCACAGCTCAGTATAGCTATATGCATGAAACTGTTGAAACAAGATGTAAATCACCATGCTTTATACTTTTTACATGTTATTCTTTATGGGTATGAGCTCAGCAGCACTGAAATGCAAACTACACAGGCAAAATAACTTGTTATATTACATACATTAAACGCAACAAAAACACTTTGTTAACACAAGAGAAGCAGACAATCTTAATACCAGTATTAAAAAAATTAGTGCAGAAAGATACACTCATAGAAATGGAGATGGAAGGGACAAGCTAGATTATATCACCTCCCTGAAATTCACTCTGCAGATATTTCTACAGAGGAATAGGTAGGTATTTCATTGTAGTAAATAATACCTTTTTTTTTTTTCACCTTTACTACAAATTTTTTCAGTATGGTCTGTTAACAGCACATAAGCCAGAGAAAAAGTTATCCCTATGCTAAAATGTCCAATCAAATTACTAATTAATGACAAATTTCCAAGGTTGGTTTTTGGGTTTTTTTTTTTTTTGTTAAACTGAGTTGAAGTGCATTTTGCATGACAGCAGAAAACCTGCAGGACAATAATGAAAGCATGTGTTAATATCATGATTAAAACCAATTTGTGTTAATGTCAGGATTAGTGATGATCAGCAACTCTGATGTATGTTAAAGTGACGATTCAAAAAGATGCTCACCCAGAACAACACTGTAGTTCCTGAGATGCAGAACCGCACAGCCTGGCTAGTTAAAGGCAAATAAGGCTCCATCTCCTGAAACAGTCAAGCAAGCACAGCACAGTTCACAAATCCGTAATCTTATTCTAACATCAAGCAGCACACGGAGCTCTCATCAGCTGTGTGAAAGTGCCCACATCCGAGGAAAATCATTCAGAACCCCCCTCTCTAGAAGGGCAGCTACACAGGATTTTGAACGTGCTGGGGGGAAAAGATCAGGACATAACAATGCTAAAAGTAAAGACAGTACTTGGAAAGAATGGTTAAACCTTTGCAAAAATCAATCGGTAGCTGAAGGAAAAAGACCACCTCCTTCATTAGACGAACAGGCCAGACCGATTACTGTAACGCTCGGTCAGGTGTTGTAGAGCTCCAAGTCCAAAACTGGACTGAATTTTAAGAAATTCTTCACGTTGAGGTTTCTTAAAATGGTCATTTACTTGGATGTACCATGTTTTTCCACACAGCCAGAGAGCGTTTTCCTCCACTCCTTCAATTTTTATTTTTATTTTTTAATTGAAGAAATGGCTACATCCATTAGTTGCCAATCTCCGCTGCAGCATCAGGCAGTAGGTCTTACCCACATGAGTATCCCCATATAGCACATGAACAATTTTCCATGTTCGTGTAAAGTTCTCTTTTTCGCAACCAATTCTAATTCCTAAAATACCAGATTATATGTATTAAGAAAGGATCATTTAAGAAGTAATGCCAGTGGAAGATTTAGTGAAAAATAACCTGAACTTGACAAATCTCTGGGACAAGGCATTGTAGCATGCTTACGCTCCTCTCGGACAAAGGGGCACTGATTACTACAGGCAAGCATAATATTAAGTATAAGATCAGTAAGTGCATCGAACCGGGAAATGTTTATTTTGACAACTGAAGATACTGAACCTGTAAAATGTTGTTGAAGGGAGTTTATTTTGTGTTGCACAAAAGCCCAGAATGTGCCAAACACACCGGCATAACGCGGTGTAATTACGCTGAATGCAATGGCCACAACCAAGCTGCACGTTTCTCCCTGACACAACCAAGCAGCAGCAGTTCTTCTGGATGGCAATTTCTTCAGTCCATCAGCATGCTCATGCCAACGTGATTTTGTTTGAAGTGTAATATGCTGTTCTCTCAGGAGAGATACACTGCCTGTATCTGCCTAAGTATACTTAAACACAATTATCAATACTGTAGTCTTGAGTCACAACAAGTTGTTTGATGATGGTAATAGTTAAAGGCTCTATTAACAGAACTTACAGCTGAAGACAAGATACAAGCACAGATATCACGTGGCTTTACATAGGCTCGTAACATTTTATACCTATTATGTATTAATAAATAATATATATATATTCTATACTAAGAACAAATCTTAACACATTCTAGGCTATTCAACAAGTTTTCTACTTCAGAACAAAATGTAGGCAATAATGTGCAAAGACAGAGGCCAAGTTTGAATGAAATGCTTCATTATTTATGGAAATTAAGATTCTACTGTAATCAGCAAAACCAGATTTTAGCTATGATCTAGCTAAATTGTTTAGCATCCCAATGAGGTGTTAATTAAAGCCAAGCACAGCTAACCCTTACGGTTTGCTGTAACTGAGTATTGATAAGGATCACTGCTAAACCCTGCTGCACAAAAGCTTCTGAAAATCCAGCAAGGTAATAAATTGATGTGTCATAACGTAAAGGATTAGAGAGTCATTGAAATTTTATGGTAATTGTTCATGCATACTTAGAAAGCACAGAGCAGTGCTGTACCTCACTCTGAGATAAGAAAAATATATCACAGTCCAATTTCCAGTTCCTAAGTAAAGTCCAAATAAACCACCCTACTTAAGAGATCTGCACCAACTTCGGGAGAGAACAATCTCCCTCAGGACAGTTACACAAACACACCTCACCCGTGCCACCTCTGGCTGTGACCTGCTGCAGCTGATTCACCTCCCCAGACTACGGGGTTTGGTTCACGCTGTACATAACCACCACCTACGAGTCAGCCCAACACTTCCCTGTCCTCACAGGATCACCCTCTGCTGCAGCCCGTTACTTCAGAGCACGCAAGGGCTGCGACCTGCCTGTGTGATCTCCCCCTGCTCTTTCCTTCAACTGCAGCACAACCGCTGTGGTTCAGCTGGTTCTGGTCACTGTGCCGCCGTGTAAGAAAGGGGAGGGTTTGAGCCTGAGATTACACAGGGATGCAAACCAGCAAATCCCATGCAACAGGCAGGCACTTGTTTTGAAGTAGCAGAACTAGCTAATGAAAAGTTGATTTACCTGAAACTGTTTTCCTGAGCGTGCAGGTATCAATACCTCAGCAGAGCTCCACTCAACATCACAGTGCAGGGTTAACAAAGATCTCTGCGTAACTTGTACACTGCACAAGTTACAAGTACAAGAACAGCAGCATTAATGCTGTATGCGCAGAAGGGGAAGGAGAGACAGTAAAACTGTCTCTCCTGATAAATAAAATTAGTGTATATATTTCCTAGTAATTAAGTAGACAAGCCCTGCAAGACAGGGCTACTCTTTATATAACAATGATTCTTCCCATGTTCCGGCTAAACTCCTGTTTTATTTCTGAAGACTGTGTTATCCAAGCGTAACTAGTGAAAATGAGGTATTCATATGCAATTTTAGGAAGAGGAAGGATGATTTAAAAATATGTCCAGCTGAGGTGGTAGGTGTTGTATTGGAATGCAACCATCTGATCCCTAAATTTGTCAAGTAACTCCTACCTAAATCAAATGCAAATGAAGACAATTAAGTTGTAGTATTTACATACAGCATTTAGCAGAGTTAAATAGTTATGGTTAACTGTATCTCAACGACATTTCAGACAAAGGGCTTCAGTAACCTTCATCTCTCTAGTGTTCCCGGAAGTGGTTGTGTATCAGAAGCAAAACCACAGCAAGTCCCACTTATGTATCTTTAGGTCAAGACAACTGCTTCTTCATATGTTGTGTAGGGAGGAGAAAGACTGCTTTTAAAGGTGTGAGGATTTCAGAGACTGCTACTCTGAAACGCAAAGGACACTGTAAAGATGGTGTTAGCCAAGTGAAAGCTATAAGCTTTACCTTTGTATTCCCCATTTAATGTATCAGTTTCCAGTGGAAATTAAAATCAATAGAGGATAATTAATGAAAGTTATGCACACATTCCAGAGGCAAAACCCCCACATTGTCATTTATTCTGTGTCAAAAGCCTGGATAACAAAAGACATCTGCAGGAAGACAGCCATGGCCCAGGAGATGGGGCATGCCTGCCATGTGCAAGAGGCCGTTGTGCTGACAGCCTTCAGTTGTCACCTTCAGACTGGAGAGCAGGGCAGCCACACCGCAACGGCCCTGGGCCAGGGTAAAGAGACCCCCGGATTTACTGAAGCTTTTGGCAGGTAAAGTGGTTCTCTCTGATATTGGTCAACCAAAGAGCACAAACCTCAGCACTCATCAACTGGATGCCTTCAGCGAGAAAACAATGCATTCCCAAATTCTGCTTTGCTATTCCATGCAATCTGTTGTGTTCAGCGAGGGTGTGGCTGCCATCAGGTTCTACATATTTAAGCCAAACTCGTTGCTGCCATAAGCACTGCTCTGCAGAGATGTAACAGCTGAGGACCTGCCCTGCCCCACTATAAACGCGGCGTTGCCTACACGTGTCACACAAGCCTTTACCTAGCAGTGAGACACAGGCTTATTCCTGAGGCAGAACTCACAGGTCATCGAACTTTCCGCACACAACTGAATTTGCATGCATGTCAACCCAGCTCGCTCACTACCTGAGTTACAGGATTCTTCTTCTTTTGGGTACATTTTGCCTCGTACTCAGGCCTCAGCTGGAGTTGTTGCTGTTCCTCTTCAAAATCAACCAGGTCCCACTCATATTTCAGTCTAGCTTGCCGTCTCTTCCAAAACTCCAGGAAAAGGGTAACTGCAATTTTGAAGTGTTAAACTACAGTTAAGGGAGACGTGAACAAGTTCATGAACCAAGTTAAACTTATTTCTGTACTGGCTTCTATTCTGCAGTCTATTACTTGTCCTCACAGTGTGACCCATCTGTTTTTATTGGCCACCTATTCACAGCCAAGACCACAATATGGATTAGGGAATTTACTAGCTAACTGAATTCCAGAAGTGGATGACCAGGAAGATCCCAAGAGAGGATAGGGGTATTCCCATGGTTATGACAACCATGTTCAATTACAGTTTAACTACTTTTCATATGCAAATAGCAACAGAGTTAAAGGAACATGATAATTCAACTAATTGCTTGTGTGTAAACCTGCAACACATGAACAGCTATTACAAATAAGCAGAACTGTTTTCAAGTAGTATGTTCAAAGATTTCTGTTGCTTTTTTGATCATTATTTGATATAATGGCTTTTTTAAAGACAGTGAATGTCTGATGATTTTCATATGATCGAGAGTGAGGTTGGCTTAAATTTTTAAGACACTAGAGGGAACTGATTTCATATATAAAACAACTATAAAAGATATAATACTATATAACATTTTAAAAGCCCTCTATAAACAACTAAAATGCAAACCCTTAGTAATCTGATTGTTCTTATTTGAACCGGAGAGGCTTTACAGTTTACACAAACACAGGAAAGTTTATCTCCTGCTGGGGCTTCCTGAATGACTAATCCATGTCACTCAAATGCTAGTGCTTAAAATCAAGAGAGTTTTAGTCAAACAGCCATACAACATCATCTTATTCAAATTCTTTTTTGAGAATTCTCCATGAAAAAAGTTAGTGGCTAGATCTTTCAATAACAACGACACAAAGACATTTTCTATTAGCACACAGAGATCTTTGTGTGTCAATGAAATACCTATATTCAAATATCTATATTCAAAATATATCTATATGATATTTCATACAAACAGTATGAAACAGGAGACAAGGTATTTAAGGAAATAAGAAACAATAATTACACTATTCTGCATCTATAAACCTTCACAGAGCTTAAGAAAACAACATGTATTCAAGACAATATGATCTTAAAGTCTGAGCAAGCATCTCTTGGTGTGAAACCATGCTTATAGATAGTCAGGAAATCCATCTCTTTCTGCATCATCAAAACATACTATAACGTATGAACTTTACTAGAGTAGAAGCCAACTAACTCTCATCCTAAAAGTGCTGCTAACAATGTGGTAGTGACGAACCACCATCCAGTGAAAAGTCACAAAAGCTCTCTGCTCCCTTGCGGGGACACTGATAAGGTGCAGGTTTAGCAGAGAGGACTCTTACAAAGACTGCATAAGGTTGGACCACTCTGTCTTAGGGTTACTAAGGAAAGAAACAAATGTTAGTAGTTAAAAGTGCACGGAACGCTTATGATATCAGAGATACCTGCTGGATTTTGTTTGTGGGGTAGTTGGGTTTTTTTAAGTCTAATTCCTCTGTAACTTCAAATTATTTTTACTCTTTTGTCACTTTTGTGTCTGAGGCAGGCTGTTAAAGCAAAGTCATTATGCCCCTTCTTCCCTCTTCCAGTGTCCCTCAGCCAAGATCTCCTTATCGCTTGACATAAAACTTATCAAATGTACTCACCCCATATGCCCATGAAAATGGCAAAAAAAAGAGTTGCCACGTTGTCAAACAAATGGGAATACTGCGAGAGAACACACAGGAACAGGTCAGTACCAAGCCAGCTTCCAGTACGAACCAAAGTGTCAAGTAGCTGGAGAAGCAGGTACGGACCTCTGAGGACGCACAGGTGGTGTTTAGCCGCCAGTACTCACACTCTCGGTCACAAAGAGGGCACATGATGATCTCTCCTCCAATGGCAGGGTCACAGATTTCTTTGCTGAGGAGAAAAACACAGTACAGTACCTGTTTCCACAGCATCATAACAGCTGCTATAGGACATTAACTTTTTTTTAAAAAGACATTAAGAGCTTCACTTGTTCAAAGCCCAACGTCTGCAGCTTCACAGAGACGATGCCAAGTCTTGTCACCTGGTATGGGCTGTCTGATTCTATTAGAAGTCTGTAAGGAGCTGTACTGCACAAGCACTGCTTTCCGGTGAGGCACAATCCATGTTATTCCTCATCAGGTTCGTAATGCATTCAACACACCTTTTCTAAGAGCAGACGTATCCATTCAGCTTGCCATCTACAGTAAAATTTGCTACTTCAATTTAACTGCTACAGTGGGCGAAGATTACAATGCTACAATAGTCCTTCAGTATGCAGGGAAGTCTGAACACGTACAGCAGTATTCCCAGGTGAATTCTGAACCAAGCTAAAATGTAAGCCTCAAAATGACATTAATTCAATAGATGATCATTTTAACCTATTATTCATCTTTTACGGTTAAAACTCAAAATTTTCTGAAAGCCTTCTTATAAAGAACAGTGAGCAATGGAATGTCAACCCGCTTTTCCTCTCCCCACCCACTCCCTCCCACCAAATCCCCGAAAACAGTAAATCTTGGGACCCTTGAAGAAACAAGCCCAACGCTTATTTAGAAAGAAGCAAACTCTGGCTTATGAGATACTGGATCCCTCTTCGATGGGAGCACACTGCTGATCTGTCCTGTCCTCATGCTTTTGGTAGTTAGTACAAACGATGACCTACACAAAAAGATCAATGGACTACTCTGCAAGGCAGATTAAAATAGAAAAGCTTAAGGCAACAATAAACACTTGAAACACACAATTTTCAGAGATGTCAGTGGTACTCTTAGGACTTTGTATTGTAGGTACTCCGATATAAAAACCTATTACCAAATGGCAATAAAATACTGCTTTTCACCTATAAACTGGGTCTTACTAATTAATAGTCACAAGTTCTACATTAGCTGTCCACCACCACTTCGGTCAATAAAGACAGTTGATGTATAAACTTTATCTGCTCTGACAAGCTTTAAAAGCTTGTTACCTGGTTTTTTAGCCAGAACAAAGTTTTCACATTACTTAGCTTTTCCCATTATAAGCCCAGGAGATTTTCAACATTGTACTCACCTGCTCATATTTTCATCCATTGTAAACAAGCCATAAAGAAAACAGATTAAGCCAACAACAGCTGCAAGGAATAACATCTCCGTGTAAAATCCTAGCCAGGCAAAATAGATTCCGATCTTCTCACCATAGTACTTCCTAAATACAAAAAAATGCAATAAATGGGAATACAAAGCAAAGTTTAAAACTGCAATAGAACAAACTGGCCAGAGTCGAAACGAAACATTTGGCAAAACTTTCATTTAATAGAAGAGTAAATGCACTGATGTACACTGGAAAAATGAGCTTTGAACCCAGCTGTGAGAAGTAGCACAAGCTGGATGTGTCAACACAATATATGGCCTCCTTGGACCATTTTTTTCTTCCTAGCAGAAGCTCCACCTTTAAACAAATCATTCTTTCTCTTTCCAACAGGATAACGTAATTGAAGATTTACTTTTTTGATTTTCTACGGAGTTATACAAATGAAACTGGGCACAACGGTGCTGATCATATGGTTAGAATGAACAGGCGATTCACAGAAATACAACTGGTTCTGTTACAAATTGGGCAACTGTAACCTGTGAATAAAGTAGAAACATTTTTGTTATATCATTATGAGCTGAATCAAAGAGATCTTGGGTAAGATTTGTTTAAATTTGGGTGTAGTACTGAATTAAGAGTCAAGCTTCAAAACTGTTTTTATTAGTGGTTTTTTCAAGTTTCATATTTTCAAATCAATCTTTAAAAATTGTGGCAGATTTTGATTATAAAATGTAAGGTATTCTTTATATGTCTTCCTCCACAGCTGAATTATCTGTAACACCCCTGACCCCAGGAGCACTGGCTAGATTGAAAGAGGCTTGATTTGAGATAAAGCATTTTTCCAGTTGCTCGTAAAAACCTGTGCTGTGTCCTACAGGGACACTCCTCCTAGTGCCCTACTAAGTATCCGATTCTCATCGGATCTTAAAAATTAGTAAAAATCTCCCATCAGGATCAAGCTACAAATTAGAGTGAAAACCAAGTAAATATAATAAGACACAGGCAGTATTTTACCTGATGAGGTCCAAAGGCTGCTCTTTGTAGAACCGCAAGAAACGGGCCCACTCCATGTACAGCGTGTATCTCTCATTGTCACAGTTTGGATCATTTGCCTTTTTCCAGTACTGGCACTGAGAGCAAATCAGAGCAAAGCCAAAACACCTCACTGACAGACCCAAATACTACATTGAAAGAAACAAACATTAACGATGACGCATCCCTCTTAAGATTGTGCCAATTAAACTAACTCGAAATTCAAACTTAGCACTGCACAGCTTTATTTAAGTAAAATCCTTTTTATATATGTAATGTTTTGAGATAATATACATTTTCGGGAAACATCTACCAATCTTAGACATTACACCAGTGCTGTGTTGGTTCAACACACTCATTTCACTGGTAGATGACTGCGGTGGGTGGTTAGTTCCGTATGTTGGTGGAGCACACGCACCTGCAGAAGTTCAAGCTTCTCTAAAGTAGAAAACCACTGTTTTACTCAACTTCATTAAAAATAACGCAAATTTAAATCCTGTTCTCTGCATTTCAGTCTCGTAAACTGCACGGCCAAAGGCATTTCACTGAGCAATGTAAACTGGGGGATACAAATTCGAGTTGTTTCCTGCCTCCAGCCACACACAGCATACGCTGTGCTGTGGCTTCTCGGGCTGTAAGGCAAGGACATGCAAAAGGAAATTCTGACGCTAATTAATGTCAGTGGTGGTTGTCACTGTCATGTATCTACCTGTCAAATACTAAGAAAACTTTGGAACTTCATCAGTTTCCTAGAAAGATAACAGCACAAAATAGCCGCAGTTCCTGACAGCTCTTGTAATCTTATTTTGTGGTGTAGACTCTGCCTTGAGAAATACTTGACTATGACAAGTATTCAGTTTGTGATCTTGGTTCTCCTTTCTTTTGGAACGTCTCTCAGTCACACAGAAAAGCATCAAAATTCTTTTCTAAATAGAAATCAAGAAATTTAAACAACCTAAGGTTTGCATTTTTAAAGTATTTTAAATGCTTAAATAGTTGTTTGTTAGACAAGGATTGGTGAGTCGGTCTCATGATTTTTGGAATTTTTTAATATGATTTCTTAGCATTTAAGGTTGGTCTTGTACAGTAGAGATTCTTGTACAACTGCTTTTTATTATCTGTGATTGTGGTAGTCCCAACAGTGTAAGCACTTCCCAGCCTGCACTAGTCTTCTACAGCCTAGACTCTGATCTGTTAAACTTTCCCCTCGAAAATCTAAAGAATGTCCGTTCGTCCATTTCTTTTAATTTGCTAAGGGAGGAAAAATATTTAAAAACATTTTTAAAAAAAAATCTATATGAAGTATTAAAAAATACCTTGTGGTACAATTCACAGATATAAATAAGCAATTTAAGTTCACTAAAGCACTGTCACAAATCTGAAATAACTTGTAAAAACAAGGAGAGAATTTAAGATTTAAACAACGAATTAAACACAATGTTCAGAAGGAAAAAAAAAGGAATTTAAAAAAGTATCTGTAAAACATGGTAAACCATCTCTCTCTCGTTTTCTCCAAGGGATTTCAGGGCTAAATCCACATATGTTGTATTAAAAATTGACCCTACAGCAAAACTAAACACCAGTAGTTACCACCCTTACCACACTTTCAGTATTTGCAGCTGCTCACCAGAGCTCACGAGGGGATGGACAAGTGACCATCCCACACTAAACCGCAGGGCTCCTGCATCTCATCTGACTTCACTCCCAACACGGTATGCTCCCAAGAGTATTTATGTAACTACAGGCAATATGCACTACTGTGTAACGACACTATATGTACGTACACACCCTACACACACACATGCTGCTGAATGCATGCATCTACAGGAGGTGTTCATTCCCTGCTACAATCTTTCTAAGGTACTATCACATAATCTGCATCATAGACATTATAGGAAAATACTCTGGAATAAGTCTCTCGCGAACTATGTGACTGACACATAAGTATATCCCAGAAACTCAACTATAGGAAGAAACATTTCAGCACATAAAAGCCAAATGGTAGAGCTGGCAGATACGTCTCGTGTATTATAGACCAGAATCAATTACCGGGACAAATGGAAGGGTTTGAGCACATTTTCATTTCTGCTGGAAACAGCAAATGTCACAGTAGGTAAAAGTAAAAACATCGGGAAATGCTGAAGGGAGCAGAAAGCTAGAATACTTACATCGTGAAGAGGATATGCAGCTGAATAGGTGCCATTATTGAGCAGCCTCTTAATCCCAAACTTCTTCTTCCCTTCTTCTGTTCCATATGGGCAGCGTGTAAGAATATAATTAACCTGAGATTCAAACACAAGAATTTCAGACCTTTCCTGCTTCAAGGCCATTTAACAGAAACCTACAACGGTTGTGCACTGTGTGTAAGTTATCGCAGTTCATATTCTCTTTCCTTGCAGGAATACTCCAACGCAACTGTGTAAATCCATATATAAATATAAGTAGGCAAATTCACATACGTACTATTCTGTTTCTCATGGACGGTGAGAAGAAAGTGCTCTCGTCATTAATGAGGTACAGCTCCTGCTTGTCCTTGCTGAACGGTGCTGTGAAATAATCCGGTTCAGGGTGCATCACCTTCTCGGGAAGCCTGAGCGGTGCAAGCATACAGTCCAGGGGGTTCTCCACCATTGAGGGAATGTCATTTTCCTTGATGGGAACTTTAATGTTCAGTACTTCTGCGTATGTGATCAGAACCTCCCACGGGGCATGGATCTTCACAAAATAAATCTTGCCATCTTCAGATTCCTGCCCCAGGAAAGTTAAACCAGACATCAGACTAAACTGTGTTTTATAGCAAGATTTATGAGATAGTTGTTATACAAAATTGATTGCCTTTTACATATTTTTGAAAGCTTTTTTTTTTTCCTAAAAAAAAAAAAGGTGGGGGAAATAGGGGGACTTTTTGTATACATATGTGGGGTTTTTTTTAACTGAAAAGCTGATCCGAGTGCTTGGTTGTTCTTAAGGATAATCTTTGCACTACCAAAAGCTCATAACGGCTTTTCAAACTACACTAATCTTGTACGCTGAGGCCTGAAAACTCTCATGATCTGAGTGTCATCTCCGAGTGCGTGTGAAACACAAGGGCTTGCTACGCAGGGCTGCGCGCTCGGGCAGCCCCCGCACCCTGCGGCCACCGCGCTGGCTGTAACGCTGTTCCCTTTCCTGAAGGGGACAGGTTTGTACAGCAGAGGAGAGCACACAGGACTCCTTACTAAAAGGAGCTACCAACCAGAGCTAAGATCTTTACAGCCTCGCAGCTGTGATAAGGAATAATCTTATCACAGGCCTCACCTGACAGTGTATGCTCTTCTAGTCCTCCTCTGCTCACGCAGCAGAAAAGGGCAATCAGAAGGGACTTTTAACACATTGCTCAACAAATCCCCATCTATGGATGTTACAGAGTCTGAACTGCACCAAGAGTTATTTTGCCCCACTCTGGGGTCTCTGGCAGTAAAAAGAGTGCTGACTTGGCATTCCGTGTTCTCCAGTTATTAAACAAAACACTAACCAAACATCCTCAGTTTGTTATACCAGGGTCCTTCCTCTTAATTACAGCCACCAGTGGGCATACTCTAATCCATTCGCTGACTTCCAAACATGTTACTAGTCGTTAGGTGGGATTAAATCCGGCTGTGAGCACACTTCCCATTTACATGGGTTTAGATGATGTCACAGCTATTTTGGAACTGCTTTCTTTTTGTTATGAAATCAAAAGCTGTCGCTTCCTCCTGAATCAAAAATCACTTTGCTTCCACAATTCTTCTGAACATATCTGGAAAAATAACTCAAATAAACACATTAAGCTTTTTTCATCTAAGTTAGTCACACTCCACTGAAATCTGCTAGAACAATTTATAATATTTCTCAAAGAAACAAAGTAATATAAATTCATCAGTAATTTGCAGGTCTATTCCTTTGGTCTTAATTTTTATTTTTTTATTTTCTTACCTTCTTGTCTTCTGTTTCTAGTTCCAAACCAGCCTTTTGCAGATTGCTCTCAAATTCTTTTCTTCTTTCCTAAAGAGCAATAAACACATTCTATTAACTGATGAAGTCAGCAACTAACCAATCACTTACTGATGACTTAACTGAATTCCGCTCCTCCTAACCGCCCTGATGACCACCCCTCAATGCTACGTGACCTTTGTAAAAGCAAGTAGACCAACAGCCAAAAACCAGGCCAGTCCTGCGTGAAGGCCAGCCTAGTGATGGCAGCGCATGGGGAATGGCATTCGCTGGCAACTGGATAGGGCCGGGCTCAGCAACCGTGCAGTCTTGGTAACAGGGCGGGAAATGTAGTCACGCGTCTCGAGCATTTCTGACTCTTCAGGGGGGCAGTGTGTGTGGTGTGCTGTTGTTCAAGTTTAGCTGTATTTCTAAGAGAATGTTAAAACTAGATAAAAAGGTACATTCTGCAAGCACCTGGCAAACTGATTGCTTATAGTGACATCTATTTACCAGTTTAACTATCATGCCCGATACAGATGTTCAAGTACTGATTACAGAGAATTCAAACATTCTGCTTCACGAACAACAAATCTAGATAAGACTAACAAATCATCGTGTGTAACCTCACATACGCTTAGCTCGCATAAAGTCACTGTGGACTTCACATAGAGATAAGTGAACCTGCCCGTGGCAGTGCACGATGGCTGCATGACTGCTGCGAGTTTGAGACTCTGTATTTTGCCAAGTAATTCCCAGGTGGTGCCTTTGGGTAAGAACATTTTCTTCCCCTCCTTCTCCGGAGAATTTTTGCTCCTACTGGGAGACTGCATTGCTTTCCTTTTAATTACGCAAAATTCGCCGAAGAACTGCCAGAATAACTACAAGTTAAGCTAAATATCGAGCCCTAGCCTCTTCAGAATGTACCAGATCGACTACCAATTTATTTCTAGGTAAAACCTGCAATGCCATGTGATATTTTCTCTATTGAAAGAAACAATTATTATTATGCCTCCATTAAATGACATTTTTCAAACACTTACAAAACCCCAAGTCACCACAGTTTTCAGCCAGTTGCCTTTTTCTGCGTGTCTGTGAGGAGCAGGCTGCCCTATTTGCATTGCAGTTTGCATAAACTGCTCAGATAAATGAATACAGAATGAAAACCAGCTTTAATGGCCCTCAAATCTACATTAAGATGTATTGATATATCTTCCTGTGTTAGTGGCCTTGCATTTTTAGCCGTCACATCTGATTTTGCCAAGTATTATTAAATTAGACACTGGCCTAGATAAACTTGCAAATATGATAATTCCCGAGTTTAGCACAGGCTGGGGACAAATGCAACTCCGTGCACTATTTTTTAATTAATCTATCTCACAAACGCGCCTACACGCACCTGTATAAACATACCAGAGAACTTGTTTGCTGACCTACTGATCTAATAGAGAACACAACCGAAAGGTGATTTATGATTACATTTGAAAGCTCTATATAAAAGCTGACATTCAAGCCTGATATCCAAAGCTATGTGCTATTCTGGATTACATTTTCTCCAAACAAAGCAGGCTGGCGTGCGTTCTTTCCCCAGCAAACACTGGAGGAGAGCCAAGCGAGTCAGCTCAGCGGGTTCTCTGCCACCAGAGACACCAGCCAGCTCCTCCTCCAGCTGCGCAGCTTAAGAACAGACACAGCCAAAGGGTCTGGCCCCATCTTACTGATCTTCACCATACACTTAGTGTGATAAATAGCAATGCTGTAGAAAAAATTACATTGGTTTTACCACCTTGCTCTCTTCCCATAAACCACCTTCTCTGAAACCCATGCGAATGTACTGTACTTTCCAGTCACTTGCAACAACCATCTCTAAAAGGAAATCAATCTGCTGAAAAAAAACAATGCTCCCCCTTTTTCTTGCCAAACACTGCATTTCTTCATGTTGCCATCAAAGGCTTAAAATGGACAAAATGTACTCTTGGACCAATGCTGGTTTGTTTTAATAAGTACTTGTAATAATTTCAAGCTTACTGTCCCAAACTAAAAAGCCAGGCCTGGTGCATGTATTTGTGACTGCTACAGATGCCACTCTGCAGTCACAGAGGCAAGGGGGAAGCAACATCACATTAGTGAAGATCAGCAATAGTGAGCTAATGCCCTTCCTCGCATTTTGTTTAAGTACAGCCCTTAAGCCTCTCCAAAGCATCTGTAAAAGACTGAAGCCACATCTTCTGAGTCCACCATGGCCTATATAGGAGAGGCCAGTAGAGCATTCACCTCTCCAAGCACCACTTTGGACACCCCACGTACTTGTTCGGAGTAACGTTACCATCTAAGGTACGCTGGGCTGTAAGGAACCATCCTGATAAGATAAACAAAGCAAGATCCAAAGTCCAGTAGTACTAATATGCCCAGTGCAGATGCAACACTGCATGGTTAGGCACCTAAGGAAGACAGACAACTGTTATAAACCCGTTTCTTGAAAACAATGCTGTTACTGCTAGTAACAACAATCAATAAACAGGAGAATAAAAGAATTTTAAGTTTACAACATACTATTCCTTAACGAAACTCCTCTTCCTTGCTTTTCCCCTTCTTTTAGGCAGGGAGCACCAAGCTTACAAAACTCTTTTACATATCAGAATGCTTGGTCTTATTCTAACCACAGTCAGATTTAGGATACGGAGAAATAAATATGGCCTTTACGAACCACCACATGCTACCGTAAAGTGTTCAAGAACTCCACTCCTAGCTGTGCCCTCAGAAAACACAATTCACTCCACAGGACTAACACAGGCGGGCTCAGCTCGCGCTCAGCTGCCCACACAGCTACCTGGCAAGAGCATTTCAGGCGAGACGGAGCCCGGTCGGGACAGGCCCCCGTGTCTCATCCGCCTGCAGCCACAAGAGCGAGAGGCTGATGGGCCAGACGAGATGACCGGCCCTGCCGCAGGGCCTGCCCGCGCGCCTTGGCAGGGCGCTCTGTGTGCCCTCTGGAGTGCCAGAGACACCAAACACCTTCCTTCGGCAAGAACCAGCCAGGCTGCAGTGAAGCAGTGTGGAGAGGTGCCCAGCTTGGCTCAAGCCCAGTTTGGAGCTGCTCCTGCAGAGCTGGGGACATGGCTTCTCCCAGTCGGCAGCCTGACAGGGTGCAGCAGGAACAACAGACATCTGATTTTCTGCTGACCCTGGCTCCCTAACTTTGGGCTATCTGGTGCCTGAGAGAAAGTAGAAGTTTCTGAGATGATGAAAAAAGTGGGAAAAGACTAGATAAAATTTCTTTCTGTATCTCCACGCTCCATTGGGGCAGCAGACTTGGCTTCCAGCAAACATAGGAACAAGTTACTTTGCACAGAGAACCCAGAGTCCTAATGCTCTGGAGTTTCTTTTAAAGAAATAAACTTATAGACAATAAAGATCGTGTTCTGGTCATATACGAATAATTTGTCAGATTCTTTTAAAAACTATATTCATTTTCCCATGTTCACATGCATTTCATATATGGGTAAAGTATTTCCACTTATCTGCTAGAAGCTTTGAGGAAAAACATAAAGTACTGTCTCACAAAAATGTCATCCTAATTTTTGTGGTTAGGATTTATTCATGCAGCTAATAGAAGGCAAGTTCAAAATCGAGTTTAAGCCGGGAAGTTTCTGGAGAACATCAAAGAAATTAATTCATTGGTTCTGCATGAAGCTAAAGAAGAAGATGAACAGACCATCTCTTATATCTGTATCAGGGCTATGCTGAAACACACAAAGAGGTTATTCATCTTTCTTAGAAATGCAGAATAAAGCTGTTTCCTTGAGACAAGGAAACAAAACAGTTTGTCACAACTGTTATTCTCTTCCCATGAACATCTCTATTCTTAGCTGTTGCATTTTGCTGCATCATTGTACTACAGTAAAAGAAATTCACATTTCTTTCCTGCGATGACTGTACAATAGCAAGCGCAGTGTGTCAGACAAACTCCCAAGGCTGCAGTGCATCACTAGTTAAATCCTGCTCCCACAAAGACAACAGCACAGCACTGCTACGCTAAGAAGTGTGCATTCATTTACGGGCATATTCATTGTATAAAGTCTATGCTGGACATAAACATAGGGCAAATTTCATTTTCTTAGCAGATTCCCCAAGAACTGTGTATAAACTCACACGCCATAACATCGATATCTTCATGCCTGTCTGTTGTGCCACCGCAGAGCTAACCTGCAGGGCCACAGAGCAAACGCCTTCTTCCAGGGGACCATAAACTCTTTCACAAGTACAGACATACACAGAATTAAATCTCACAAAACTTGATGCAGATGTTCTACTCTTTTGCAAGAGAGATGTTTCTTCCTAACTAAGTGCATTTTTATCTCAAAGAGGAACTTCAACATTAGCTACTAGCTCTTGGCTTCTTCCCCATGGGAATCCTTCAGTCAATAACAACACCCGTGTACCTGGCCTCTGGTCTGGCAAAGATTCCTGCCACCCCCTAACATCCTATAAACCCATGAGAAGGAAATCGCTGCACATAATACGAATGAGTGACTAGACTGAGCATCTGGCTCATTCTCCTTACCACTTGAAACACTACCTAAATAGTCTCCATTTCTTCCCTCACGTTACTCGAGCACGACTAATGGAAAAATTTATGGCAAGAGTTGCTTTCACATATTTTGCATTTTGCATATCTTTTTCTTCTCTCTACTCCGACTGGTCTCTTCCTTCTTTTTTAAGTGCATTTTGCTTTATGGTAAAAGGAGGAATCTAGCTAGGATTACAGCCTGATTGAGAGTCAGTGTGGGTTTGAAAAAGTATGCCTTCATACAAACCTCTCGTACCACAGCTAGAATATAACCCTGGTCTCCCCAAGCAAATCTCCTGAACGTGGCCAGCTGAGGAAAGCAGACTGTGAGGTGCTTAAGCTAGCAAAAACATCACAGATAAGGACAGAGATTCTTGCTTTTTGTAAGGTAACAAGAACATGACGCAGGAGCTGTGTTCTACACTGGATCATATTTGCATATAGGCAGTGTAAATCCTTAACAAAAATGGTATTTCCTTCGTAAAGGAATGTAAGCAGTACGCAATTTTTTTGAACAGCCCAATTGTGCAGTTTTTGTTCCAAGGGAATTATAATTTTCAATTATCAAACATTTTAATATGACAAGATATAGATGAGAAAGGTTCTTTACTTCACAGACCTCTAGTTTTGATCATGATTTTGTCATAAGCCTCCATGTAATTAATTTTCTTCAGAAAGCGTTATCTTTCAGAATAATGTGATTACATGAGAATGAGCCTTTTTTGGGTTTGGTTTTTTTTTTTTTCCCCCTGTTGGTTGTTTGGTTTTTTTTTAAGAACAAACTTTGGAGATATATATTGGAAAGACTAGTTTGTAAAAGTAACCTCTCCTGGCTCAGAAAGAAGGCAGCAAATAAAGAGGAAACAAAATAATTAAAATCCCTGCATGTATTATTTTTTAAACATTATGCTTACGTAGCACTTAGTGTTCGCCTTGACTGCATCTCATAGTACGGGATTTTTTAAATAGCTTGAATTGATGCATTAGTAAGTCAGACCTCAAGTATCAGTGTGAGCAAGGAGCAAACACATGCCTTTACTGATTCTGCCTGGCCTGCTGCTACCACGCCAGCAACCGGGTCTGGCTGGGAAGGTCAGGGACAATTGCTGACCGGCATTTTAGAAAAAGTCTGTACTTCATGCCCTGTTATGTAGGAGGTCTCTTATCAAAGCCACTTTAAATATTCTTCTAGAAGAATGAATACATACATGTAGAGAGTAAGTCAAGCCCAGGGATGAGCTCGAAGAGGAGCTCTGTGTCTATTTTGCTCAAAGTAGTAAAAGGAAAAAAAAAAAAAAAGAACTAAAAGTCTTAAAGGAAAATTGCACGGATACTTGGATCTAAGCATCCATTTCTGCTCTAACTGAAGTCAAAAGATGGGAGAAAAAAAAAGTTATTGTTGCATTTCATTTGGATAACGCTGTGCTTATTTTGCTTCATTTAACTATTTACAGATATGGTTTCACCAAAGTCTCAACAACCTTTAAGAGTGTTAAATGAAGAAAGCCAAATCATTTGGATTAGTTGGGACTGATTGTATAATATATTGACCAGCCTAAGTAATGGAGAGTGATGAATTCCGTAATGTAATAAAATCTAATCTAGTAACATTGGTCTTAATGCACAACAGTAAATTACAGAGAAATTTCAGTATGTGGAATGGCTTTTTACACAGCTATCAAATTTTCAGCTCAGTCCAATTCTAGTTGAGTGTACTGATTTGAAAAGCTTAGTAACTGATATCCAGGTTATGATAGATAAGAATTAAGAGGACCTCAAAAAGACAAACTTACCAACTTTTTTTCCCATTCCTTATTGAGATCATCCACATAGGAGAGAACAAAATCAATTCTCCTGACACCGTCCCTGAAGAAAATAGAATCTTTGCTTTGATGTCTTTTATCAATCTGTGGAAGATACAGGCATATGATTAAAAATACAAGTACTGCTGTTGCTCTAAAAAATAACAGAAGACAAAGACATTCCCCAAAACTGCCTCAATTCTTCAGTTTCTTCATAGCTGAAGATAGACTTGCACAAGTTTTAACAAGGGCCATAGCCAGTTAAAATAATTTCAATATTAACCGCTTACACCCACAAACATTACACGTGAATGGCATATGAAGAGTAAATATATGTTAGTATTTGCAATAACTTGTGAACAATGCTACCATTTATTCTTTCACAGTCTCTACAGTGTGTCGTAAATGATCAAGTCAAGTGTTATTGGACAGCATGGCTTTTTGGGTTTTTTTTTTTTTTTGCAGTTAGTCAGAACACCACTCTACACAAAAGCCAGCTAGGGCACAGACTTGAAGCAGGTAGCAAAAAATAAATTCCATGCATTTTATTCTACATAACAAGATTCACTAAACCAACTACCACAGAGAAATATGGCCCAGCAATGACTACAAACAAAACCACACACAAACATTTACAGGGGTTACATTTCAAAACTGATATTTACTTTCTTGGAGAGAAAAAAAAAAACAAAAAAACAAACAAATCACTAATAAAATGTATCAATGCAACAGGGTAATGAGTGTTCCAATTACCTAGTAAAGGTCACATTTTCATTTATCAGCATGCCAGAATGTCATAAACAACAGCATTAATCTTTTCCACTGGTTAATGTTAAGCAACTAAAGACTATTACCTCGCTCTCCTAAGGAAGTTAACATAATATTAGGTAGTATTATTCATCATCATATCAATACTCAGCTCTACCCAACTGTTTACAAGACTATATGTTCATACAGCAAAGTGCTCTCCACAGAAGCTAATACTCTGGTCTAAATTTAACTCCATGCCAAGGAAGGTTGGTGGGGTTTTTTTATCACACCCATTAGCAAAATTGCATTTATATAGGACTGAATTGGTGTTTCATTTTATTACAGTAGGAACAACAACAACAAAAAAGCATAATTCAGAGAGGTTGTCTCTGTCTTCTCTTGCTTAAGCCATGCAAGGATGCACGTGAAAAATATTCTGCGCTTTCTCAGCGAACTTTACAACTGTGAACCTTGCTCCCAGTTAACAAAAGGCATCACACAGTGAAGCATGTTATTACTGCAGCCATCCAAGCCACTTGCAATATCATTCATCACTGTTTTACCCTGAGACGTCGCTTCAGGAACAGATTATATCTCCTTCCACTCTGCCGGAATAACCAACAAGTAGTTAGCAAGCCCAAGTTCCTCTCCAAGACCCAAACCAACTGCTTCAAGCACAGCCCCCAGCTAGAGCTAGTAAGAAACCTGTGTCCTTAAGAAAGCCAGGAAAAGCTTCCAACTATTAGAAAAACACAAGCATCCCCAAACAGTATGACTATAATGTCTTTTTTATTAAAGGTAAAGCTGCACTGGCATTCGTTTTGATAACCAACGCAGGTATTTTAAAATAATGACTCCTAAACTGCTAATTGTCATCATTTGGATACTTGAGCAGATTTTAAAAAGGAATAATGAGCAAGTTTATTTGAATGTAATGTAAAGGCAACAAAACAAGCACTGGCTAATGAATAGAGCACATGTTTGTGTTACACTCATGTCAGGTTACACCCACCGGGACATAAAAGGACAAATGGCAACCAGCTAATTCCAGAGCTGACAGAATTACAAGCAATAATATCCACATGCTCCAGTACATGCATTCATCTTCCAATAGGTTCAAATTTAATAATTAAAAAAAAAAATACAAAAATCCGTACTGTTACGTCTGCTGTATGTGTCTTCACTGGACACACTAGTAAGTGCTGAAACCAGAGAGCAGCCAACTAGGACCAGAGAACCCTTGTTTCTGAAGCTATCCTAGCTTTTGGGGAGCTACAAAACACTGTGTTTCACATCTAAGTAACATAAAAAAGCTAAAAGAAATTATTTCCTGAAAATGCTGCAATCCTCCCTTTGCCTTCCCTCTTTGGCAATTCTGTTGGGATTTTTGTTGGTTTTCTTCTCTGGAAATATTTACAGCACACCAATTAAAGCACACTACTTTGTAAGACTGAAATCAGGACAGCTACTTCAGAAAATGCTTTTGCTTCCAAATGCAGTACATAATCATGCAAGGCTAAAAGGCTCACAAAAATCATGGAATCCAATAGAATAAAAGAAAAGAAACAGCATTTTCCTATTTTATTTTCTGCCTACAGGTTGGGGTTTTTTTGATAACTATAACTGTGACTACAAGCAAATTGCAACTGTTTTGATGATAATTTAAATAAATTAACATAGTGCACAGAACCACACTGACATCTACACAGCATCAATATTACTGTAATTATACAGCATTACACTAAGTAAACCCCAAAGTGTATTCTAACAACTTACAATGTTGGGAAGTGGCCTAAAAACAGACCACCCCAATCACTAATTTGAAAAGACAGACGCTGTCCTAGTGAACTAACAAAATCCATATAGACAAATAATTTTAAAAAAGCAATAAATAGCATTTACTTCAAAAAAGCTCCTGCCAAAGGAGTGTCCCAAACTCTTTAGGTAGCATAGTTACTAGACCATTGTATACGATTGAAGTAGTAATTTATCTTAGTGCCGAAGTTTGCTCATTTTCTAAGATGTATCACAATCCTGCTCAGTCACTAGAGGTCTGACTATCAATTTAAGAAGATGCAGTAGTCATCGTTGGATCTGCTTTGAGATGGGAATACCTACCACTTCCCTCTCCTTCTGTACATTCATCATGGACAGTGACAGGCCTACTTATTAAACCCATAAATTATTCCTTTCCATTTTGCTGCATTTGGATTTCACACAAAGACCAAGATCAGTCTTGCATATTCATGCAATTCTGTGCATACATGTGCACTTACAGGTTTAAAAATATATAGTGTAGTAATTTGCATTGGTTGCACCAGTGAATCATAAAACATTACAGATTAGTACATCTTGTTTCTTAACAGCTCTTTCCAGAACTGTATCCAAATTAATCAATCTTAGACAAACGGGAGTTACTAAATGAAGTTACATCTCATCAGAGCAGATATTCTGTGACGTGTACCTTCTGGAATACAATTAACCAAATTAAAACTTCCCAACACAGCACAGACAGCAAGCAGAAGCTTTTGAATAATCAAATAATACCCAATTGAGGAACTGCAGAAGAGATGGAGCCCTGCGGCATATGGTGAAAACTCAAAAAAGCAACAGCCACAAGTTGCAACAAGGGAAATTCCTACTGGATGTGAGGGTGTGGTTGAGCAGGAACAGGTACAACAGGTTGCCCAGAGAGACTGAGTAATCTCCATCCTCAGAGATCACAGGGCTTGACCAAGCAAGGCCCAGACCGAGCAACCTGATCTAAGTTTGAAGTCAGCCTTCCCTGTAGTAGGCTGGCCAAGGAGACCTCCAAAGGTCCCTTCTAATCCAAGTCACTGTACGATTCTATCAAATGGTGTTACTACAAACATGCAGCATTTACTAGCACTTCCAAAAAGTTGAATAAATCCATCAGCTACAAAGCAAGTTTACAAAAACTACTTGTTCAAAACCAAATACTGCCCTCATGTTCTCTTGTAGCAACTACAGAGTTTTAATAGTCTAATTATATCCATAAGAACTAAGCGACTTCATAGTCTGTGGACAGACATACTAATTGAACATGGTAACCACCTATCATGAAAAGCTAAACTGTCTTTTCACATGGCTACGTAAGTGCAAACTTACTGGATTCATACTGAATCATATCAATATTTCTCGTTACCCCACAATTGATAACTTCTGTCTAGACATCCAGTGGAGGTCAGGGTATTGGACCACATTCAACCAAACCACCCTCCAGGTAGCCAGACTTGCAATCCTCACGTTAGACATGAGCTAAAGCCCTGCAGTAGGAAATCCTGACTCAAATAGCAGAGGTTACAGAAAAAACCCAAGATGTCAGTACGGAAATAAATAACCACAGCTCAACACGAAGTAAGGCTCTAACACCCCATGTTCAGTTCTGCCCAAACTGGTCGGGATAAAGTGTGTAAATGCTGGCTGGTGGTCGCACGCTACATTCAAATCCATCAAAACTCTCCCACATTGCTGAATACTTGATGGGCAGGCCTCGGCCACCTCGCTCCCGCAGGTGGCTCAGATATGCTTCTCCAGGGCCAAAGCAAACACGCCAGTCACCGCCAACAGGAGAGGGGAAAGCGAGCTGCTGGATGTGGCATGGACCGCTGAACACTGCACAGAAAGTGCTTCAGAGAAACGACTTTGGATCGAAGCTGAGGGATGGAGACCATGGGAAACATTGCCGTGGCCTTGCTCACCCACCGGCGCACAGCGACAGCTGACCTTGGTCAGTACAGCCAGCTAGCCCCTGGGGGTCTAACGACAGCACAGTACCTGGAAAGCAAATATATTTTGCAATTATACCTGAATGATTTACTCCTCTATATTTTCACAGGACTCAGAGGGATTTCTATTTCTGGTCATCCACCTACCAGGAAATTTATGTCCTTACTTGCTGCTTCGTGGAGCTCTCTCTGTGTAGGCAACGGAGCTTCCCCCAAACACATCTTCTATCCTAGCCCTCTCCATGTCCGTACTTCAAAGACAGAGGAATTTGGCTTAAAGTATGCTTTTCAGATTAATATTCAGTCAGAAAACTGCAAGTTTCTTAGGGGCCTACATTCAGAAAAGCCCTTCCCAAAGTCAATTCCCCAGACTTCAAGGTTTCACAAGTGTCCAGCCTCACAGAGCTGGGACTGCAGGTTCAGACCTCAGCAGCCTTCCCCTTCTGCTTTTTTGTATCTCAGGGTGGGAAGGTGGTTTAGAGCAGCAATTTCAGTAACTGAGCAGTACCCGGCACTATTCTGAGATGGAGGAACCCAATTATTAGCCTCATTAGAGTTAGAGCACCATGAAGAATCTCTGGCTATGACTAACGGGTACGCTGAGAATTTAAGTTAATAACATGATCCCCATCAGCACATCTAGGAATTATGTTATCATAGTCCTATATTACCAGACAAGAAAACTGCTTGAAATTACAAAATAAAATTGATCTGCAACACTTTGCTTGCTTAGAAAAGACAAGATTTGCTACAAACCAAGTATTTATTTTATTTACTGCATGCCTTTGATAATTACACAGGCGAATTAGCTTTTATCACAGACAAAGTAAAAAAACCAAAATAACTACATTACAAAGCTATTAGTTCATTTATGAATTAACAATCCACTGCAGAAAAATTTTCAGAATACAGAAATGGACAAAAACGTAAGGGTTTGAAAGCTGAATCAAAATACAAGAAAAGCTTCCATAATTGAAAGTGTAGGAAACATTCAATGGCTTAAACCCAAAATCATCACCCTCACTAGATCCCGAGTTTTCAGACAATATTTATATACCCCCCCCTTTTCACTGAATTAACCATGCTTACAGCTATAGGGAAAACATGCTGATTTAAGTGCCACTATGCTAAATATAACTGTTTGATGAAACTTATTTCCAAAAGCAAAAAGCTCCTGGAAACGCATTTACACAACATATGCAAATATATAGGTACTCCACTGAAAATCAAAAGGCAAATTCCTGGTTAATGCACAGTAAACTCAGTTCCCATTATACCAGACATCCCCTCTGCATGAAGTTCTCTTCAATATTCTTCCTTGGAGGAAGGAATCCATGCAACCGAAGTGCTTACCCTCTTCAAAGTGTATTAACAACACTTAACAACACACATCCCAATTTCCAGTTATGCTTCATGCAGGCTACAAAACCGTTCTTATTCAAAGAAATACAAAACCCCCACATATTTCTTAGAGCTAAAACTTGCAAGTTGCTTTTTGCACCTTTACCACAACTGCGTTTCAATTATAAACATTAAAATCCGAAAGCTTGAAAACATGCATTTCAAAGCAGTTTAAGACACCAAGATATTTGCACTAAAATTCAAATGCGCCGAAAAAGCCTCTCTGGATAAAAAAGCACATTAAACAAGGAGAGAACAAAGAAAAATAAAAAGGATGCTAAGAGAGCATATGTGTTAATGTAAGACACCAGAGCCCAATGTAAGCAAGCAGACAGTTTTAATACACCTCAGCATGTACTTCTTCAGTTATCTTCAACGAATCTTTGTAATTTTTCCCCATAAAAGAATAAGGGTTATTTTAAGTTTTCTGATGTATTTGACAATTAATACAATTA